CAAATAAAACAAAAGCTCCTGCGTGGACTCGCACAGTAAGGATGATTGATGAAAGGGTGTAAACCGCATAACAAGCGCTAATGTTGAGTCCAAATGAGACGTTTCCTGCTCTCGTATGTGCTGGTCTCGATCACGAATGTACTAGCGCTACGAATGGCTGGATAGGCAGGTGGTCGGGTAGTAACGGGGTATATGTCGACCAACGTGGCCAGTGGGTGGCGCGATGATGTGTGCCGAATTTCAGGCGTCCTCTGCCTTCTTCCCATTGATGGCTTTGAGCTCGACATCGCTGCCATCGCGTTAGCATTCCGCTTTGCAGCCTGTGCACTGATCCCGCGATAACAAGGTGAAAGGAACAGCATGTGAGCTGTGCGCTGTGCGCTGTGTGGAGGAACAACACACACACACACACTTGTAACCCGTAAATGAGGCGTCGCAAGCGTGCTGTAGTGTTCCCGATGATGATGAAAATGAAGTTGGGCACCTACAAGATCAATTTGGCATTGGCCGGGATGTGTCCAGGAAAGCCACTGTTGTCCACATGGTCAGCACTTGCACCTCATGGTCTGATCAGATCGTCCAAGTTCAAAGATGCGGCGATGCCAATAGGCTGCAGACATTCGTGTCGTATAAGATTGGCGGTTGCTGCGGCATGGACGTCCAGGAGCGCGGGAGATTCGAAGAAGCATGGCTCAAACGATCTTCGGAACGTCGTCAGCCGTACTAAGTCTTGGCTCCGTCGGGCGTTAGTGTTCACGGTGGCGTGTGTACTTCCAAGGTTCGGTAACGTCCCGTCTTACTTGTTCCCGTCCCGACCACGGAATGTGCAGATTGTGAGTCGAACTTACCGAGTGCCATATGCATAATCACTGCATCGCACGTATCATTAGTACAGTACACTCGTGCGGAAGGATATGTCGTGGGGATTACGTACGATGTTATGATTAAAGTCGCCTTCTCTCCCAGCGTCATTGGAGAAGCCTCTGCGGAGCCTAAAATGCCCTCATCCCAGCCTGTGCATGAGCTTTAGCCAAATGCGCATTCAGAATGGTAGAATGCATATGCACCAAGCACGAACCGGGTTGGGTTGGCAAGACATACCTTTGATGACTCGGCCGGCGCCGATGGGAGTAATCAGGTCACCCCGACCTACGGAAGTATCGAATCTGAAGAATGATCAATACAGCGTTCTATTCAATGCCAAAGCCATAAACGCTGCCGGTCCGCTTACTGTCCGCCTTTGTGGTCCGGAGCATCGTCGTCAAATAGCCACCCTGTTATTGCTGTTAAAAGTTGATCTCTGGCGAGGAATACTAAGTCGCCAATCTCACCAGTGTATTCCATAGACACCTCATCATGCTTCTTGGGGAAGTCTATGCCATTGCCAGGTCTGATCACGAGCTTTTCAACGCCCATATTGAAGGGAACGAGCATGGATAGCGTCTAGGGCGGGTTTGGAAAAGGTGAAGCTGGAAGCAGGTGGCAGGTAGTGTATGTAGAGTATCCACTTCCTTTGGTACTGATCAAAGATAGCGTGTCGTTTTGGAAATCCGAAATCTGCAAAGATGGGGAAGTACGTTAGAAAGTGGGTGGACCCTAGAGTTTAATAGTGGTGCCGATGTGTAGGCCCAGGAGTAGGAAGCTCCGTAGATGCTCTGACTGGAGCTCAGACTTGCATGGCTTTTACTTTGACCAAAAGCATACCAGGGTTTTGCCGCGAAGCTGTGCAACAGATTGGTCTGTTCATCTGCGTCAAGCATACTTTTTAGCCTCTTCGCATACGCACACGTTCCACCTCTTTGGCTCCAAGGTAATTGCGGGCTACGTATGGTACGACCCACAGCCGTCAGAACGTGTCTCCCGGGGAATCCTGCCCGAAGCTCAGGCCGTTTTGGAATGTCAGAAGTAAGGTTGGTCTAGCCCTTCCAAACCATTCTTCATCTGCAGCATCCCAGCTGACACGCGATGGGGGATCCACAATTGACATGGTGGAAGGTTGTACCCGTACTAAAGTTTCCCGCGACTACCGAGCGGCCTGCCAACTTCGATACGGATCTTTGTTTTGTGATAACACGGGTATAATCATGTCCGATAGTGGCTTAGCTCTCTTAACGATGGTGATAGGATGACACAAGGGTTGATTTGTAGCCGCTTTGATGGAAAGGAAGCAGGGCGGTGGCGCGCAAGAGAGTGCGGTCAAGCTTGAAGTGCGGTGACGGTCACCATGATCATGAGCCATCTAGCACCAATGTGCGCATGGCGCTGGCGCCAGAACCTTAACCTCGTCTAAGGAAGCGGAAGGCGCAAATAAGCCGGCCGTGGTCCCTACCTCATTTGGAGTCGCACGATGGAAGCAAAAAGGAAAAGCGCCTCTGACGCAGCAATATTCGGTCTTGTCGAATGAGACACGGCCGCCACATTCCACCATGACAAAGGGCGATGCGTATACTTTGGTACGGCAATGCATAAGGACCTGCATGATCTAGCTGCTACGCTGCTTGTGTAAGGCGCAAAAAGATCTCCTTGTAGGATCCTCTTCCAGCTCCGTGGAGGCAGGTGGCGGTCATACAGATTTGAGTATGGATATGGACAGGGGTGACGTGCATACGCAGTACCGTTCTCGAAAAGCAATGTTCGGTCCTTCATGGTAGATGTACCCCGCGGTTTCAAATATCTAATCACTAATCACCATCCTGCTCTTCCACACCTCATCGTTCCCTTCATGCTACCGCTATAGCCGCATTCCTAATATACGACCAGGAGACTATCGTATCTCATGGGATTCACTTCCCCTGCGTCTCACGCCGGCCCAAGAACCTAGCTGTGTTTCTGCTTTCGAGTCTGTTCTAGTTTGCCAATCACAGACGCGGCGGATACACACCCGCCTGCCGTACGGAGCTAGACCCACCCGAAGAACAACCGTATTTCGAGCGGTTCGTCGAGATAACCATATGCGGAACTGCTGGCTATCGTGCTTCTCGCGGCAAACGAATAATTCATTTGAACTAGAGGGACAAAGCACAAGCACAAGGGGTGCGGGGCTAAAGAGTAAATCCGATGGCCATTACACGTGGTCTTTCAACCGTGCTCCAGCCATCCCTTCTCAGATCGCGAGCCCTGTGCGCTGAGTCGGGAGCCCAACAGCGTGGTCTGGGAGCATCGTACGCTTTGCATTGGCTAGACAGAGTGCGCTTGCAGCGGCAGCTGAGTCGTGGAGAAGAGAAGCCCCCACGCATCTGGAGTGCAGTATCGTGATAGACAGCATGAGCCACAATCGAATAGTGATGTGGACTCGCAAGTTGCATGTCACCGAACCGTCGGATGCGTTCGCTTCTATTAAATATCCGAAGGCCGTGGGCGCTGCATGTAGGCACCCTACCAACCGTTGACAGAAGGTGCTCGATAGTGTGGCCCCGGCATTTGGGCCCGAAACTCTCCTTGCTGAGAGTTTCAGTGGCGCGTCTAACTACCGAAGGGCTATCCATCGCGAAGAGTATATCACCCTATTTTGGCCCAGAAGGGTAATTGCGCCAGGTCGGTTACAGCAATGCTAGAGAAGCCCGCGTTGGGGAAGCGGCTGTCTTTGCGCTCACCGGCCCGGTCAGCAAAATGTATCCGGTCTATCCCTGCCTTCTGTACGAAAGCCAATAGTCGCGCATAGTTTGTACCTATCTGGTCAATCCCATGACTGTCATCAGACATGACGAAACCACCTCCCATGCTTAAGAACATCTATGACATAGGTTAGTAAGTTGACGCCGAGACCGGGCATATGGCGGTGTGACTGACCTGACATATGGGCAAGCACGGATACGGCTCGGCCAAACCTTTCCGCAGCCCTGATGAGTTCAACTCCAGTAGAGCGCCATAAGAGGCTACGTATTCCAGATTGCGCTTGATCTTTTCCCAAACACCAGTCATGCCCTTGAAATCAACATCGCGATGATCGCTAAGTAGGCGAATGAGATCGAAGTGCCCGACCACTGGTGGCCGCAGCTCTTGAAGCATTTCGTACTGAGAGTCGAAGTAATCTTCAAAGAGCCGCTCGTCCGTCCCGCCTGCATTTTCCCGAGCTTGTTCGTACATGGTACGGTCGTAGTCGATGGGTATGGTGTACGTATGGTGGACAGAGCCCATGAAGAAGTCGAAAGTATACTCGTCGAGGATGCTTCGGATGAGTTGCAGTGTCGATGGACGAATCCATTCCGTCTCGAAACCGATGAGGATCTGGATCTGGCCTGAGTACGCGTCTCTGAGTCTGTGGGCTTCGACGATGAAGGCGTCGAACAATTTCGCGAGGCTCTCTGCGGTGTGAGATTCAGATTCTTCGGGGTAGAAGTCTTCGAGAGGTCTAGGTATATGCTCCGTCAGCGCAAAGGTGTGGAAACCTTTGGCTATCGCTGCCTGGACAACTTCCTCGAGTGTGTTTTGCGCGTGTCCACAGAACTGACCAGAGTGGCTGTGATGCGAGTACGGCATTTTCGAGTAGCCGGCACACGTTCGATTTGGTACAGTGTAGACGTGTAGCGTTGTGCAGTAGATAGGCAGCACAGACTGCGAAAGTCTGCAGTAAATTAGCGACGAGGAGCAATACCCCGTCAACTGGTGAAGTTGCTAAATTGTGAACAGTGTAATGACGGTAAGGGTCAGCTGTGCGTTTAAAAAGATGGTCGCGCAGAGGGTTCTGCGAGCTTTGTATCGGTTCTTTCCAAAATTTGGGTCATGTCATCCATCCATGGTTCCATCCGTTGAGCCTCGGAACTGTGCCTAAGCGGGCCTAGCTCACCACTATTCTGAACCAACCGTGGACGCACACCTCAACCTTGGAGGCCAATTGAACTCAACGCGAAGTAAGCTATCGTTTTTCCAACACTTGATACAGCAGCATTCTCGAGTAGCTCAAGTCTGCCGCACAGTACATCTCACACATCATCCAAATCTATAGCCCTCAAGAACGATCCCACTACCAACGACTTTAAAGGCCATCAATACAGCTCAACATGGCGAATACCCAGCTCCCCATCACACCACAAACCTCATCCGCAATCTATTTCGGCTACGGTTCCAATCTCTGGCTCCACCAAATGAGCACCCGCTGCCCAACTTCCAAATATCTAGGCGTCGCCCGCCTATCCAACTACCATTGGATCATCAACGACCGCGGCTACGCCAACGTCGTCGAATCCTCCAAGCAAAACTCGACCTCCAATTCTTACTCTGACGTCGTATTCGGCCTCGTCTATTTTCTTCTACCAGAAGACGAAAAGAGGCTAGATAAGAACGAGGGCGTACCAGTCGCATACACAAAAGAGATGCTCACATGCGATTTCTGGCCTTCAGACACAGAGCACAAGGTTGACACTAGCAAGCATCCGGAAAAGAAAGAGTCTATGCTTGTTTATATTGATCGCAATCGTATTACGCCAGATAAGCCGCGGGACGAGTATGTTTACAGGATGAATCAGGGCATCGCTGATGCTGTCAAGTTGGGGGTACCAGAGGGCTATGTAAGAGATGTGATGAGGAAGTATATTCCAGCCGAGGAGGATGCCGAGGGGAAGGAGGGGGAGAGGGAGTGGATGGCAGAGTTCGCCAGAGGGCAAGCGGCTGAGTTCAGGGATGAGAGTGGTGTAATCCAATAACATGGCAGTATGATCATCACGTCACATGGACGATTTTGGTCGTAGCAGTGCGGGCATGGAATAGAGAAGGTATCAAATGAGTTGACAGACTAGACCGTCCCAATGTGAAGCAAGACATGCATGATGACATCGACGACGCACGATACAACGAAGCTCGTGGCAATCCATGTCCAAGCAATGAAGCGGCATCAAGCTAATTACTGCCTTGGGTGTCTCCTGTCGCTTGGGCTTGTGCATCAGAGTCGTCCTACAACTCCTCACGGGCCCTGCGGTAGCTGGCCTATGAATGCAATGCATCAGTTGGGTCCTCTACAAAGAAGTCTAGTAGTCGGAAGACTGATGTCTACGCACCTCCTGTTCAACCTGCAGCTGCTCGACGACGGGAGCCAGCTCGGACAAGATGTCGTAGGCCTTCTTGTGGTATTCGAGTTGGGCGGCGATAAGTTCGGCGAGGTTGCGGAGAGGCTCGGGGGTGTCGAGGACCTAGACGGGGGTTAGTGGGGTGCTCGCACATTGTGGTGTAGAGTGAGGGGTATATTCGCACATTCTTCATGACGCCGACAGCCTCCTCAGTCTGTCCAACGAATTCGTCCTCGGCCTGCTCGATCTTGGCTCTGGCGTCATCGCTGAGGTCGTCGTCCATGACGTCCTTCTTGGGAGCCTGGCCAGGCAGGGAGAAGGCAGGGCCCTTGGCATTGGCCTTGGTGGCATCGAGGCTCAACCTGGAGTTCTCGACGGCCTTGCGCGCACGTGTGGCGAACTGGATGTTGGTGTTGAGCGTGGTGCTCCAGCCGGCCAGGAAGCGGCTCTGGATCTGGGCGTCCTGCGCCAGTCGCGCCTCACCGACCTTCTCGCTGGCGATGGCGTACTTCTCGAGCGCCGTCGCCAGGGGGTCCTCGCTCGAGCTTGTTTGCTCCGAGGTGAGCATGTGCGAGGCGTTGAGGGCGGCGCGGGCAACGGCATGGCTGAAGGTCTTGGGCTGGGGCTTCGCAGAGGGGGGAGCAGTGAGGGCTGCCTGGGCCTCGGCGGGCGACGTGGCGCTGGAGAGCAGGTTGACCTTCTCCGAGACGGTGCGGCCCAGGTCGTTGAAGGACTCGCGGATGTTGGCTGGGTAGTCGTAGGCTTCGTTGGCGTATTGCGAGCTAGACAGTCAGACCAGGCACAGCGGCAGGAATCGGGTGTCGTACGTGACCTGCAGCATCGTCGTGTGCACCTTCTTCAGCGCATCCACGCGCTTCTCCAGCTCGATGTAGTCCGGGGGGAGTTGGGTCTGCCATGTCTGTGTCAGCACTGCGCCGGCCACTCTCACACAGCGGCCGTACCTTGTCCTCGACATTGCCGACCTGCTCCTTGACATACTGCTGCGTCCTGGCAGCCCACGGTGTGAAGGAGGCGCTGCAAAAGCAATGTCAGCATATCGCGGGCTTCCACCTAGCAGTCCCAGGGACCAGGCATACGAGATGTTCTTTCCAAACGCCGAGATCTTGCCGAGGTTATCCATGGTGCGTGCTTCGTGTGGTAGCTGTCACGGGCTTGTCTGTGTCTCGTGGCTGGGCGTCGTGGTAGTGGTCGCGGTGCCCTCTCCTCTGCCGACTTTCATGTGTTCCGCTGCCCGCTGTCAGGGTCGCGCCTTATCCCTGCAACGCGAGCTAGGCCCGTTTCGATCATCTCCAACGCTCCACATGCACACTCCACAACGCTTCAACAAGCATCTCATTGCCTTCATTCATTCCTTCTACAGCTTCAAAGCCATCACATGCCGCTTTGTCAGACCTCATCTCCAATCACGGCAGTGCTATCATATCTTTTGATTCTATTATCACACACAAGTCGCATAGAACCACCATGCGCTGCTGTGACCGCATGTGTACCTGCCTTGTCTCCGTCCCCGTGCCTCACATCGAGTCCACATAGCAGTTGCGTCTCCTCATCTCGCGTGAATAACATTTCCATCAAGTGCATCTTGTCAGACCCTACTCCTTTACATCTCCGTCGATAGGGCTATGGAAACCCAATCTATATGCGACGTCGGATCTGACATGCGGTCCAGCAGCTGACAGACGTCGCACCACATGACATGCAGTGTCAGTTCTATCGCTCGTTTCTTCCTCTTTGGCTACTACCCACTTCGCTCTCTGTGCACTAAGATGCAATGTTGTACGTCACGGCAGCACTGCCTCCAGGCAAGCCAAACCTCTTCTGTCCTCAGCCTAGCACCAAAACGCCTCTCGGAAGGCCATCTCGGCGATCGACGCTCGTCCTACAGGGCTGATAGAGCGTTTCCGATAGACACACTCTATTGCAATGCATCCAGCCGTGATCCAAGGCAACGTGGGCGTAGGCACTACCGACGTGGCATTGCATCTGACCGACACAACAACTCACGTCTTATCGCAGCCGTGCTGGTGGATTCGAATACTTCTTGTGCCCAAGACATTCTACTGCACAGCGTACTGTTGCTGTGACCCCGGTGGATAAGCCTCTGCGTTTGACGACTTGCGGTCGCTTCCGTAGCCCGGAGATTGCCAATCTGGAGAATTGTACGTTGAAGCCACACCATCGGCGCTCGTCACCGTCACGTTGTCCGAGGGCGGGGAATCCGAGATGGTCAGGGAGCTGAAGATGCCTCGCATCTCTCGTAGATCGTCCGAGACTTGGTCCTTGGGTGTCTGTGTGCGGTCTTTAATAAAGTCTTTGATAGACCGGATGATAGGCGGGCAGCTTTCGTCGTTGGGAAGCCACCAGTCCGATGGGCCAACCCCCATGCCTTCGAGCATACGGTTGCGAAGAATGTCGGAATATATGTACCTGTCCCTCATGTTAGTCGACTTGTCGATAAGTCCCATGTACCTGGTCTACAACGAGGAAAACATGTTCCACTCGTCCAGCTCCGTACAAGCAATATATTTCACTTACCCTGATGCTTCGATTCTGGCAAATGTCTGTCGAACCCACTGCACAGTCTTCTGATCTTTCGGCAGGAACAGAGTCGCGATGGCGAAACTGACTTGTGCCTCCAGTACCGCGCCCGGCGGAGCCTCCGGATATGCGCATATAGCCTCGAAGACTTGTATCGCTTTGTACGCTTCTTTGGTGACTTCTGGGTCAAGAGGCTGCTTCAACGCCATGGAAGACGAGATGGTAAACATGAACATGATGCCCCACGTGTCCAGCTGCAGGAAGTTCGATGTCCAAAGCGGCCCGCCCCATAAGACATCCGGCTCGTAAGGGTTGACAATGTCCTCTGGCTTTGGCGTTCCCGGAATCTGGTGGACCTTGTGACTGGGATCCGTCAAGTCTGTACCCATGTTCCTTTGTAGCGACTCCACTCTCTCCTTGAGTATCGGTAACTGGGCCATGAAATCTTGGGGACTGACAAGACCTTTGGCTGTTCTCGCAAACAGATCATTCGAGTCTTTCGCCACGAGTCTTGAATGCGCAAAACGCTCTTCGTATTTCATTCCAATGTCCCCTGGCATGTCGCGTACTTTCTGCACATAGCATTCATGCACAGCTTCGTACCACTCCCGACCCAGCACTGCTTCCCCGCCAGACTGAAAGCCAACAAACAGATCAAACCGGACATACCACAGTAGTACTTTGCAGAGAAAATCTGACTTGGTGATAGTCTCCGGCGTGAACAGGCGGGTGAGCATTTCGAACGCAGCTTTCTGATGACCCATGAGGTTGACCCAGTCACCAAGCATCTCCTGCAATAGACGTCAGCACAGGAATCGTGGGCTATAGCAAGGCTACATACCTCAATGCTCGCAAGCTGTAATATAGTCAGAAACGTTGCGAGCCCCTGTTTCTTGTTCTTGGTGATGGCTATCCTCAACCGCGAAACAGACTCGTTGTAGAACTGAAGAAAGCTGTTCATGCGGCCATCTGGCTGCTCAAGCGTGTGGAAGTATGCCGCGTACCCGGCTACAGCGTACTTCAAAGGCTCGAATTTCATCGCCCAACTCAAGAAGTCGCCTTTGAGGAAGCCGTGCGTGTCGCGTTTCAGAGAGTAGTGATGCACACTCATATGGTCCCGGAAGTAGTTCAAATAAAACTGGAGATCTCGGGCCATAGCGGAGGTGCCCTTGGTCACAGGACCAGTTTTGGTGGTTTGCGCACTGCCTTTCCGAGACAAGGACGGTCTTATCGTAGGCGGTGCGGTTGATGACGCTTCGGTAGATGGCGACGTACTTTGATCGAGGAGCGACCCGGGTGTATGTGAAGAATCTCGAGCATCTTGACTCTTGGACATATCGTCGTCATCGTCGTCGTACTCGATGTAGTCATCTTCCTCGTCTTCATCCATGATCGCGGGAAGACGCTCCTTGTTCTCCCCCTCATGGGTTTCGGGCGAGGAATGATCATCCGCGAACGCCGACTTGCCCGACTTGGACCCATTCCGGGTCGCCTTTTGACTGGACTGTGAGTCTGGGTAGATGCACTCGCGGCTCCCCTTGCGACAACCTAGCGAACTTGGTCAGACTTAACGAACTTCGGACTTGTCAAGCAAGCGCAGGTACTCACGTTCGCAGACGGGATGATTTTCGTCACACTGTTACCAATCAGCCAAGCCTGACACCTGGAAGTTGATGCGCATACCTTGACTCTTCGTTGCCTACATGTAAAACAACCGCTCCGAGTTCTGCGGTGTTTGACCTGCTCGCCAGGTGCTGGCCTTCTTCGCGCGCGACCATTCCCACCATGCGCTGAGCCCATGGGGCCGGACATATCCTCATACTGATCAACGTAACTTGGTTGACCAATGTTCTCGTATTGTACAAAAGGTCCCGTCACGCCAGGCTGAAATGGGTTGTCTGGCAGGGTGGGTGCATACGAGCCATGTGAGATGATGGTTGGTGGGGCATGTTGAATGTTGGAATTGGGTATCGCATTAGAATCGAGGTTGTAGTATTGAGGCGGAATGTTGTGCCCTGGGGGAGGATAGTATCCAGACATGCCTGAGAGAGATGGGAAAGACTGGAGAGCGATGGAGTGTA